TAACCACTAAGCCACATCCCCAACCCTTTCTATTTTATTCATTTATTTTATTTTATTTATTTATTTATTTTGAGGCACAGTATTGCAAAGTTGCCTAGGCTGACCTGAAATTCTTTATCCTCTTGCTATAGCCTCCCCAGTCTGGGATTACAAGTGCACCACCACACCCAGCCACAGTGCTTTTTAATTGCAGCAATCCCCTAAACCTGGCTTTTTGAAGACACACTGTCATCAAAAGAAATGTAGCACCACCTCAACTGTACCATCTCAAACTGTTAGTTGCTACATTCCTTTCAAAGTTTTCAGATATACTTCTGTGTCCATGTGAACTCACTGTGGTACTCACAGCAAACAACCTCAGTGCATAGTTTGATAACTGAGTTTGGAAACACTAATCTAGCCTATGGAGTCACTTAGAAATTAAGAAATATTACCAAAGGACACAAAGCTAGTTGAAAAATAAATACATTTATTAGGGATTTTCATAGATTAACTTCAACTTTCCATCAACAAAAGCTGGATCTAATCATGTGATATTCTGTTGATGAAATCTGTAAATCTCTGAAAATTAAATTCAGAAATACATGTATAACATCATATAAGAAAATACTGGGACTTGGCTTGTGGCTCAGTGATAGAGCACTTGCCTGACATGTGTGAGGCCCTGGGTTCGATCCTCAGCACCGCATACAAATAAACAAATAAAATCCATTGGCAAGTAAAACATATTTTAAAAAGAAAAAGAAAATATTGAAGCAATATTTTAGAACAAAATTTCAAAATTTACAAAAGTGGGACTTGGGCTGGGGGTATGGCTCAAGCGGTAGCGCGCTCACCTGGCATGCGTGCGGCCCGGGTTCGATCCTCAGCATCATATACCAACAAAGATGTTGTGTACGCCAAAAACTAACTAAATAAATAAATATTAAAAAAAAAAAAGTGGGACTGTTTGTTTTAATTTTTTTTAGTTATAGATGGACACAATACCCTTATTTTATTTATTTTTATGTGGTGCTGAGGCAGCTAACAGTTATAACATGTATCCTTACAGAACTTTTTCTATGCAAACAAAACTACATTTCTTTTCTTATGGATGTGTGTGGTGTGTGTCTGTGTGTGTGTGCGCTGCTGGGGATTGAACCTAGGGCCTTATGCATGTGAGGCAAGCACTCTACCAACTGAGCTAAATCCCCATACCTGGACACAATTTTTATAAATCAAATCATATTACATAGTGTAGAGCAACATATTTCCTGCACTCAATATTACATCATGAACATTCTTCCACGTCAGTACATAATAGTAATAGCAAAGACTTTACATGATGCATACTATGCTGACTCGGGGTATAAATACTCAACTAGTTCTCTCAGCAACCCTGTAAGGTGAGAATTATTATTAATTTATAGATGAGGTCACAGCCAGTTCAGTTAGCTAGTACAGTTAGGATTGGAACCCAGAAAGTCGGCTGCATAGTTCATATGCAGAACAATACACTCAGCTGTTTCTCATTAAGTAAATTTAGATATCCCCAAACTTATTAGCAACTGCAGAGTGATCACAGAATAAATATACTGTAATTTTAACCATTTCTCTATCAATCGACATTTAGGGCATTTATTGTTATTTATAAATGTTGACACTGGGAAATAATACTAAAATGAACATTCTTGTGCTTTTGTGTTAAAATTTATGTAGGATAAACTAAAAATTAAATGATTCTATTAGAGTATGTATACTTTTAATTTTGATAAATAATGTCAAATTTCCTCCCAGAAAGTTGTTCCAATTGTCCCAACTTATCCCAGTGACAAAGGACAGGGTTGAAATTCATTTTTAAGTTAACATACTTTTTTGACTCATGAAATAATCCACTTTGAATTTTTAATTGATACTAATACAGAATAGACTTCTAGGTTGAATGCAATTATCTTCTGATTAGATAATTATCTGATACATTAAACAAATGCAGATTAGCAGCTGTTTAGTGGATTCTTCCTGTTATGAAACCAACTAAGAGTGAGATATTTCCCCTATATGATCCTCTGTTTTCTTATGTATAAAACATGGGAATTGGTCTAAGTGGCCTTTAAGATTTAAAGTTCTTAATGTGATGATTAAGAAGTGACTTTAAGTCATTACAAGCCTATAATTATAGTACTAGTATAACAGGTTAGGGTCTTAAACCTCCTATTTTCTTTAAATTACAACAACAATTGCCAGAGCAGCTAGGCAAATCATTAAAATAGTCAATAAAGTTTTCAGGATCCACCTGAGGCTTATTCTCAGTGGCTTTTAATCCTAGACTGTCATTCCCCTGATACCTAGCAATTTGAACATACCTCTGGAGTATATTCCTAAGATCTGAAATGTGCCTAAGAACTAAGAACTAGATTTTTATTTTGTTTTTTAAATATTATCCTAGGACTACTCTGCAGTCAATTAACTCAATTAATATTTATTGACTATCTTACTACATGCTAGGCACTAGGTACATAATAGTTAATTAAAGATTTCTGCCATCATGGAATTTACACAGCAGATATAAAAGGCAAATAATAACCCCAAATACCCACATGTAAGCATAAAATTACACTTATAATAATGATCAAAACATCAGTACCATGCAACATCAGTGTAGAATCTTTGGTTCTTTTTTTAACTATCCATGACATTAAAAATTGCTTGACATGGAGAATGTCAATAAGAAAAAAACTATTTCACAACTTACCCCACAATGCAAAATGAAGCAATCATAACTCTAAAGTTCACTTTTAAGTCATCAGTTGTCTCTATATTAAAATTACTAAGATCATAACTTTTCAGTTATGCCACTATTGATCACAGCAAATTAATATTTGTTTTATATAATAAAGAATATAAATAAAAATGGTACTGAAGATTGAATCTAGGGGCACTTTATCACTGACCTAAAGTCCCAGCCTTTTTTTATTTTGAGACAGGGTCACCCTAAGTGGCAAAGACTGGCCTTGAACTTGCAATCCTCCTGCCTCAGCCTCCTGAGTCACTTGGACTACAGGAATGCACAACAGTGTCTGGCTTCTCTACAATTTGTAAGAACCTTGTTTAAGCAAAAAGTATATAGAGGAGTAAAATGATCCCTTATAATAATCCATGACTTATTAATAATTAACAAAAAACTATGAAAATACTAATACTTTCTAAGAACTGAAATAAGGAACAAGTGGTATGTAAAAAGGAACAAAGCAGAATTTTTAAAAATACTTTGAAATAATACCAAGTCCCAGAAGTATCTATGTTAATTTTAAATAAAACTAATTTTAGGTTATCTGTAGAAATAAGAGCAGCATTTAAAAAAATAAATATTCTTGTGTGATGGTTTCCACAACTGCAAAGTAAGGTTATTTGTCATACCTCCTTCACAAGAGTGCCAAGAACACAAAATAAATTAAGTATGTGAAGGAACACACACAAAAAAATTTCAGACAGCAGCTTCTTTTTTGCTCCCAATATAGCTCACAGTAATTTAACAAATACAAAGTATTTTTATATGAACTTCATCTCCTTTCTCCTGTCCATGATACAGAAGTGATATAAAATGGTCAAAAGACTGGCAATAAAAAGAAAAAAAATCACAAAATTCATAGTTCATACATTGATTACCCCACAGAAGGCTGGTTGTCCAAGTATTAGCCATCTTACATAACACTACACACCCATATATCAGAAAATCTGAGAAATTCTTTCACAGATGTATAAATTGTTTACTTGTATAACTCACCATCACTACAAAGATCTGCTACTGACTATGAAAAGATGAGATACACATGTATTTATCAATATATACAATGTATTCTAGCTTGACATTTTTTCTTATTAAAAGTATCTTAAATTTGATGTGATAACAATTCAATCATTCTGATTTACTTTATATCACTGAAATTTGTCAATTTAGCATATCAGAACTAATTATTACTTGCTTGGATTTGAAGTGACTTCTACTGTAATTCTAAAAACTAATTGCCTAAAATCACAATCCCAAGTTATTCGCAACACACTGCCTGGTTTAAAAATATTTTAAACTAAGAAGTGTTTTAAATAGAAGTCATCTTGCGGTATTTTATTATCATTGCTTCTACAAAACTTCTCAGGGTGTTCCTGAGAACAGACTTTCCTTTAAAACCCTTAAAATACAGGCCCAGGAGAAATGGTTAACATGGCAACATTAACGACTTCTCCAAATTCAAAACAAGGCTCACTGTCAAAACAATCAAGCAGAGTATATGGATAATGATCTCTATTCTTGACAACCTACTTTTTTCCCAAATGCAGGATTTGCTTATTATCTTTAAACAACATTAAAATTTACATCTATGTGCAACTAAAATCCAGGCAAATTCCAACCCATATCTACAATATTAACTGTATATCAGGCTACTTTTAAACGGGGGTGTGGGGGGGTAGATACTGATAACTTCCAAAGTTTAAAGCTTTTTAAAGCCACGCTCCAAATCATTTGTGAATTAACCGGTAGACTACATTCTATAACCTCTGAATTGGAGCAGATCAAAGTTTTCCCTGCACTGTATTTGAGAATGTTACCCCCACCGAAAAGGAACAGAAAGTAGTCATCCCCACCACTGGAGTCAGTCCCCCGGAATTTCCCAAAATATGCTCAATCTCCAAACGAAGAAGGAACACTTCTCCGGAGGCCAAAGGTGAGAGGTTCTTAGGTCTATGCAGACTAGAGGAAGGGCGAGAGAGGGGTCGGGGAGACTCCGCAGGTAAGCAAGGAAATTTGTCTACAGAAGGCACAGGTGGGACCTGAAACCCAGGTCTCCGAATGACCCTACCGGAAAAGCCTGGGGACCCAAGAAGGTTCTCCGGAGGGGACGCCAGGCAGGGCCAGGGGGCCCCGCCCCGCCTCTCCGGCCAGCTCTGAGAACCCGGGACCGCGGACAGAGGCAGCTACGGCTGAGCAAGCGTCCGCGGTCCCAGCCAGGTCCTCTCCTGCTCACCTGAGAGTGTCGCCTCCGCCCTCGGCTCCCACGGTGCATCCCGCGGGGCCTGGCGGAGGGTGCAGTGACGCCGCCCCGACCGGCCCCAGGGCTGCCTGGCCTGGCCTCCCCGCTCCGGGGACGCACCGGGCGCCCGCCTCGCACCGGCTCCCGGGATCCGCCGGTCCGCAGGGAAGGAAGGAGAGGCGGAAGGGCTGCCTCCCCTCCCCCACAGCAAGCCACCCCCTGAGCTGCGGCTCTCTGCAGTTCTCTCTGGCGCTGGTCTGGCCCCGCTCCCTCGCCCGGGAGTCACTTCGGCAGCGTTGGCCCAGTCGCCATTACAGCCCAACAACTGACACGGAGGAGGAGCGGCGCCGGCGGCGGTGGCGGTGGCGGCGGCGCGGGGCAGGGCGGGAGCAGTCCCGGCCCAGGCAAACCTCGCGAGAACTATCCCGAGACGGTTCCACAGGAATGCAACCCAGTGTTGGGGCCATATTGAGTGTGGCCAAAAGGTGAGAGCGAAATAAGCAAGGAGCGGAAACTTGAGGAAGCCATGTTTGGTGTGGCGAAATTTGAGTCTGGCAGAACTCGGGCGGAGCTAAAGTATATCCGCAGAGGAGACTCCCCCGCCTCTCCCCCTTCCCTTTGACGCTAATTGGGCCTGTGGGCTGCGCACTTCACCCCCGGCGAAGAAAACAGGATAGTGACTTGACAAGGATGGACTCGAAGTCTGGGAACGGCAGCTTTCTGAGAGTTCAATGTTTCACCAATCGTCGTCCAAATAAATCGTCACCTCAGTCAGTTTCAGAGTAATTGCAGTCCTGCGGCTGCTGCAGTTACCCACTGCTGTCACTGTGACCGTTTTATTCGCGAGGGTTCGAGTTCTGTTTAGCCTGCAATCTAATGACTAAAGACTCCAAAGCAAAAATGAAGTTTCCTCCCAGTAGGTATTGGCACTGATGTGCTCTGAGAACCCCTCTGGGATCAATATATTTTCTCACAGCTTTTTTCTTCTTTTCCCCGTTTCCGTATGTTGAATTCTTTCCTCTGTGAAGACTTAGTTTAAAGGACATTTCTTCTGCAGATAAGACCACCTTCCACTAGGTGCTTACTCTTACAAGCTGTCCGCTCATCGCTGCACCTTCTAGACTCCTACAATAAACTCAAACTACCTTGAAAACTTAGAGGTCTCTCTTATCTCTCTATACCCAGTAGGCCCTAGCATAGCGTCTAGGACATTGTAGGTGCTCAATACATGTTTGTCGAGGAGATCATATCAAAGCAGAAAGCAGTAACTGGGTCCTCTTCAAAGGGCCTGCAGCTGTGCCTGCATAGGAGCTAAGTGGATGTTAGAAAGTTTTAGGTGTAAAGAGTAGACTGATGCACTGGAAGGAAAAACGGGAAATGTGGGCATCCCAACTATGCAAGTGGTAGCAAGAAAAACATCAAAAGGAAAGTGTTATTTAGTTTTCCCCAACCTTGACATGTATGCTATTTTGCTCAATGTAAACAACCACCATAGTTAGTAAGTATGCTCACTTTTTTTGAAAAAGAGAAAATGCTTTTGAAAAGCTAAGCTATTTGCCCAACATTCTACCATTAGTAAAAAGGAAATACAAGATTTAGGGTCTCCTTTACTCCAAAACTTGCTTTTCCTTTTTCCCCATGCTACCTGCTGGGCAACAGAGAAAAACACCAAAATTTTCTACCATGGTGTGAGTAGCAGCATTATAATGGTATCAAACTATGCTCAGTTTCCACTTTTTTGTGCTGATTTTTTCCTCTTTCACCTTCCAAATACCTGACACATCAGTCTCCTTCCTATTTCATCCTGTAACTCTTGCTGTTTATACCCTACAGATTGGCTCTTGAGTGTATCAAGCTTTATACTATTTGTTCATAGCTTAACAACTGTACTTAATCCCTGGAGCAAGATTAGAAATGGAATGTAAACAGCCTTGTTACCCTTTGGAAGTCTCCCCAATGTTAGATATATGGTAGATGTTCAGTATGGCCTCCTTTTTATTCCTGTCCTTTTCCCTCTTAGTATGAAATGTGGTCTCAGTATACTGCCCAGGCTGGTATTAAATTCCTGGGATCAAATGATCCTCCCACTTCAACCTCCAAAATAGCTAGAAATACAGGTGCATACCACCAGGTCCAGCCTTCCTAGGAATTGAATCCACGACTTCATGCATATTAGGGAAGTACTCTACCACTAAGCCACATCCCCAGTCCTTCATTTAAAAAAAAAAAAAAATTATTTTGAGACAAGGCCTAAGTTTCTTGAACTTGTTATCTTCCTGCCTTAACCTTTAGAGTAGCTGGGATTATAACATGCAACTACCATGCCTGGCATCCTACTTCTTAATAAACACCAACATTGGATTTTTTTACACTTTACACTCTTTGTTGATTATTATGGCTTTGGCATTTGCCTCTCTTTGGATAACTAAGTCTTAGTCCTAAACTTTAGACTAAGTCTCTGATTATCTGTTACTCATCTCCTCCTGAACTCTGTCTCTCAAGTGAAGTTTATCATTTCCCCTCTACTCAACCCTACAGAGCCAGTTTCTTTCCCTGCCCCTGTATTTCTGTTAATGGCCATCATGGTACATCCTTCTGTGAACTAAGAGGCTCAAAAGTTCAGAAATAGTGTATGCTATTCTCTTTGACTTGCTCCCACCCAATTGGTCATTAAGTCTCTAAAAAAACATTGTTTCATATTTCTTTTTTTTTTTTCCCTTGGGAGGTGGGCGAGGTACCAGGGATTGAACTCTACCACTGAGCCACATCCCCAGCCCTATTTTGTATTTTATTTAGAGACAAAGTCTTACTGAGTTGCTTAGCACCTCGCTTTTGCTGAGGCCGGCTTTGAACTCTCAATCCTCCTGCCTCAGCCTCCCAAACCACTGGGATTACAGATGCACGCTGCTCATTGGTGAATTTTTTTTAAATTTTTTATTTGTTCTACTTAGGTGTACATGGCAGCAGAATGCATTTCAGTTCATTGAACACAAATGGAGCACTGTTGAATATTTTCTGTATGCACTCCCCTATCATCCATTTGTACCAGTGCTCTTCTAATTCAGGCTTTCATTCCTACTGCACAAAAGATTGTAGCAGTCTTCCCAGATGTCAGCTTGAGTTTTGTACCTACCCCACCTCTACCTGCCAAGGTAAATAAAAACTTCTCACTTCAGCCTTCAAGACTTTTCTCGGTATGTTCCAGCTTAGCTTTCCATCTCTCTGAAGTTTGGCAGCACATTAAAGTAGAAGGGGGAGAAATGTGATATCAGGAAGATTGATTCAAATCTTGACTCCATCACATAATTGCCCTATGAACCCCCACCTTATCATCTATGAATCAAGTCTAGTGATATCTACCCTGTAGCATTGTCTTGAAGATAAGAAATAACATGGGTTAAGAGTCTGACATTATGCAGGGCACAGTGGTACACACCTGTAATCCCAGCAACTAGAGAAGGCTGGGGCAGGAGGATTGCAAATTCAAAGCCATCTTCAGCAACTTAATGAGGCCCGAGCAATTTAGTGAGACCCTGTCTCTAAATAAAGAATAAAAAGGGCTGGGAATGTGGCTCAGTGGGTAAGTTCAATCCCTGGTATCAAAGAGGAAAAAAAAAAAAAGTCTGGCATTAAAAGATAGAAATAGGGGCTGGGGTTGTGGCTCAGTAATAGAGTGCTTGCCTAGCATGTGTGAGGCACTGGATTGGATTCTCAGCATAGCATAATAAATAAATAAAATAAAGGCCCATTGACAACTAAAAAAAATATTTTTTAAAAAAGATAAAAATAAATAGTGGCTATTATCACTTCACTAAATGAGAGTGATACATTGAATAGGAGTGCTACATTTCAATCAAACTTGATTTCAGACACAATCTCATTCCTACCTTAGGCCTTCATTTCCTGACATGGAATATATATTACCCTGGTTCACAATTTCTGCCATGTTCTTTAGTACTAACCCCAAAACTAGTACTAGAGAAAAAAAAATCATGATTGTTTATTACTTTGCAGGTGCTTTTCTACCACTGAACTCCATGATGCTCTGTATCCACCATAGGGCAATGTCTACGATTGGCAGTTCTGTTATCTCTCTTATAAACCTATCATCACATTTGTTCATAACATCCTTTGTCTCCTTCACCACGAATTAAGAGCATGAACTCTGGAGTCAAACAGGCCTCTTTATGAAGCCTGGCTCAGGTACTTACTCCCTGTATGACTTTGGTCAATGAACAATGGAGACTGCAATGGTACCTATTGCTGAAGTCCAGCTGGGCGAAATAACCGGGAGGTGACAAGCAACTTGTGAAGGTTGAAGCAGGAACTGCTTTATTGCAGAAACAGCAGAGGTATATATATCTAACTGATTACATACAGCTTGACTCAATCAGCATCATCCAATCATAGCATTGCTCCCCTACAGATACAGCAATCAGCAGATAAGGAATCCCCACCATCTTGATGGCTTGGTGGCATTGCCTCACAAACCACTCCTTCTGGCAAACTACCAGGCACCATCTTGACTTGATCACGGCGTCCAACATCTCCCCCTTTTTGTTTTATTAAACAACAAGTATGTGGTTTAGGGACCGTGCCTGTCTTAGGTAGTCCAATACTACATATGGTCCTTACCCATCACTGGATGGTCTGACCTCAAATTGTCAGCCTCCTGGCTTAGGTTGGTACCATTGTAATTGGATTTTACCCGTCTTTGACTACCGGCCCAACATATTTAGTCATACTTGTGGATCTTGCCCTGTTTCTAGGGCCATCATGGCCGGTTTAACGACCATAGTGGTTTCTTTTTGTTGTCTGTGTAATTTACACAAACACCATAAACAACCTTCCACAAGCAGAAGGAGAAGGATACAAAATGCCACAATACCAAGCCATTGACGGCTCCAAGTGAGAAGCCCTTGGAAAAATTGTACCACCGATGACCCCGTCAGCAAAGATACCCTGGTACTATTAAGAGTTACAATTTGTTGTCTCAATAGATTAGTTAAATTTTGAAACCTTACATTCCATGTGCCATTAAGCATGGCTCCTAGTTGTCTGGAAAGATCTGCTG